ATAATTCTATTAGGTGCACGCTTTTTCCTATGATATTTCATAAAAAGAATAGCATGCGAATGAGCAATCTGTAACTATAGAGAAAATACAAAAAAAAAGCGCTTCGTGTTATCTGCCCTCTTACCCTGAGGCCGAATCTTATACACATGCCCAACAACTACAATTAGATCGACTGGACATAAGAAGAGACTATTTATGCACTAAGTATATGAATCAAATGAATTCACAACAACATCCCATACATCATCTTCTAGAGAAACTCGCCAAAAGGCTTGTCTTTACAATTCTGTCACGCAAATGCAGAACTAAGAGAAAGGAAGTTTTTTTACTGATTCCAATACTTTTATTAGCCATTTGAATTATATATGTATTCTTTATTCCTTTTTTCTGGTAATTTTTAAATAGCTATTTTTATCATTTATACATAGAATTCAGTTCCTAACTGCAAGAGAGTATAAATAAACTATTTTTATTGTTACCTCGTCATCTGCCTGATTCTCTAGCTCCATCCAGACCTTTTTCTTTCCTTGACAACCAACCTCTAGCTCAATGGCTGCAATAGGCCGAGTGTTATCTGACACAGAAGTAGTATTGTAACTCAAGTAGAGTGCTCGCGTGAAACAAATAGTACTAATTACTACTAAATAGTGTTGATTATACAATATAGGAAACAAAGGAATTTGTATAATTTATCACTTATTTTGTAGTATTTATATTTCACGCATTTAGTGCGAGCACTCTACTTAAATGTATATAACGTAATACTTTATGGAATTTTTGAGTTGAATTTATATTTAAGATATTAGAATTAGTTTATACGAATATCATAACTTCAGTGTCTTATTGCTACTTAATTACAACAGTTCTTATCGGTTCGTGAGGGTTGTGCAATATTTCAACGGACTTCAAATCCAACCGTGCCAAATCGTCATATTTGTTCGCTATTCTGACTCAATTTTGTAATATAAATTTGTAAAAGTGGTTAAATTACGCCCACAAAGTTCAACATGGGACGAGTGGCAGAAAAGTTGCGAGAGTGAGTCGACAGAGTTGCCCGAGGAAACACTTGGAGCAGGTTCACTCAGAACCCCACGAAAGAAAGAAAAGGGCAGAACACTTGAGAAGTCGACTCAAACCTTTAGAGGAAAAGAACTCGCCACTATACACGCACACCACTCAGAAAAGGAGTCCTCAGCCGACACAGGATTCAAAGGAAATTTTATCATTTCAACGAGCATTCTACTATGTACTAACGTCACGTCAAACTCCGCTCTAGCCGGCTTGATACAACACAATTCTGGATAGAAGGATCCTACTAGAGACATGCCGCTGAGGGGATTTTGGAGGCAAAAGATGGATTTGAGATATTTTATTCGGCCTTCAAAGACGAGTAGTGTAGACGCTCTGTAACCAGTCTTGTAGTCTTTTATGACTGATGGCGATAAGTTTTTTTAAAAATAGCTCTAAATCCCTTCAAAATCACACACAGCCATGTTAAATAACATCAGCAACACATAAGATTAAGGCAAAATGCATTTTATCAAAAAACAATTTTGAATCAAATGCTCTGACGACACAGGGGCGGCTGCTAAAGGAGGCTAACGTTTGTAGTACGCACAGGTGGAATCAACCGGCTTTCAGAGCTGGTGCAAAGGCCATCTCCGGCTCGTAATATGATCAGCGGTTATTCCAGCGCTTTGAATTCGAAAATGGAGCATTGTCCAGGATTTGTCGATGGCGTGTTTCATTTACCAGGGGTTACTAAAGAGTTTCTGAGTCAAATCAAAGATCTTCCAGTCAAAGCTGAGGATTTGTTTGTTGCCACGTACCCTAAATCAGGTATAATTATATTTAACAAGCCTTATTCCCCATGATTTTGATGATTGTCGTTCCGGATAGACTTTTAAGCCCGAGTTGCTGTGAGTTGCGTAACCTTGAATATAAACCTTTTTAAAGGAGTTCATCATCCTTTTTAAAGGAGTTCAAGTAGACTCTCCTCCTGTTTGGCATCAAAACGTTCGAGCGAATATTGTAAGAATTGTATTTTAGAATCAAGAGCGAATGATACTTTCGACCAATGGAAGAGAGTTATCGAAGGTCTAAGCTAGTAATAAAACTCTAAATATGTACACATTC